GTCATGAACCCTTTCAAGCGGACCAACCATGCGGCAAGCAACTCGGTGACTACAGTACAGGAGGAGCCGAAGAAGCAGCCAGGCGTCAACGGAGCCCAGGCAGCTGAGCAAGGTCAGGGAGAATCCGGCGAGCATGATGATGCGGCCACGATTCACAGTCGCACTACGATCCAATCGCGCGATACTCAGACCAAGCGACGGAGCCTCTTCGGCGAAGTACTGCACAAGCACGGCTCATCCCTGTCCATCAGCAGCAATGCTCCCGAAGAGACCCAGGGCCAGAAGGAACAACGGTCAAGAAGTGCTTCTCGGGACACTCTTGCCATCTCACAAGATTCCGTCAGCCGCACGACTTCTCGTACCAACGGAACTGTTGAGGGGCGTCCCTCGGTGAGCGGTCCGAAGACTGGGGGATGGTCGACTATTCCTTCAATCAGTGACTACCCACGGCCCGTGACGCGGAGCAGCATGGCATCTGTGCGCAGTCCGGAGATCACCAGCCCGACAGGACATAGTAACGGGCACAGCAATGGCCATGGTCATGGCCATGGGAAGCGCGATTCGATGATGAAGCGATTCAGTCTGCTCAAGGGCGTCAGTCGAAAGGGCAGCCGTCATGACTTCAAAACGGAAACTCCGCTGCGGGAGGAGTGACCTTTATTTTTTTTTTCTTTCCGAATTCTCTCCCTGATATTCTTTTCTTCTTAATGTCTGGACATTAACCTTTTTAACTGTGCATTTTTTTGACCTATTGGACCAGCGTTGAATTCGACCTTGTCTTGCATTGCAGCGACGCTTTGATCTTACTTGACTTCACTTCACTTCTCATTCTCAACCCTTTCGTCCACCGATCCAGGCACGATATTTTTTTTTTCATTATTTTTACCGAGATACCTTATTTCTCTTTCCCCTCCTTCTTTCCCTTCTATTGGATCTCATTTGTGATTAGAATATTTGTAAGATATTTCGACGATCTGTCCGGACCTTGCATTCAAAACTATACCCCGGAGAAGGTGAAAGATTCACGGAGTGGGTCCTGATAGGTGTATATTATTAGGTAGTTCGGTGTTGTATACAAGATTGTTGCCGAAATTCAGTATCAGTAACAGTACACAGTGTACATTCTCTCGGTGATATCGAATGGGAAGCAAGGTGGATATATAACAATAGAACAAAAGCAGGCCACAAACAACAAAGCAGACAGAAAAGCAACTAGCAAAGCAACCAGCAAAGACAACAGACATAAGGTCATTTCTCGCTCTCTCTTTCTATCTTCCCTCTATTTGAAGCAATCTCACCTCTTCCACCTTGGGCTTGGGTCTAACTGCCCTCATCCACAACAACCGGCAACTCCATCTCCACCAACCAGGGCGCATTGATCGGATGATACTGCACATTGACCACGCTGGCGTTGACGAAGAGGGTCTCCTGGCCCGGGTTCAAGGGCATCATGCTGGCCTTGCTGACGTCGACGCGGGCGCAGTGCTCCTCGCGCGTGCGCGGCTGGTCGCACTGGATGATCGAGTCGTTGCCCGTGCTCCACTCGCGGCGCATGGCGCCGTACCCCTCGTGGATGTGGCCGAAGACGTGCAGCCGGGGCCGCGCCCGCTTGACCGCGCGGTACAGGTGCTCGCACCCGACGCTGACATGGTTCGGCACGACCTGGTCCAGGATCCCGTACGGCGGGCCGTGGGTGATCACGATGTCGATGTCCTGGCCGTCCGGGATCGGCGCGGGGGCCACGAACCCGCCGCGCCCGGAGTTGGCCGCGATGGCGCCGCGCGCCCCTTCGCCGCGCGAGCCGGTGCTGCCGTGCGTGCGGGGGCGTTCGCGGGTTTGAGCGGTGGTTTCGTTGGGTTGGGGTTCTTGGTGGTGGTGGTGATGATGATGATGATGATGATGATGATGATGATGATGCTCCTCCGTGCGAGTTCCGATTGCCGGATTCCCATCCACACCGTCACCGTTTTCCGTGCCATCCTTCCCCTCGCTGCCAGGCGAAGAGGCAGAAGGAGCAGAAGCAGGCGGATTAAACCGATCCACGCCGCGCTCATACCCAAACGCCCACTGACAGAACTCCGGCGTCCAGCTCGACGCATACACCTTCAGCCGTCTCTTCTTCTCATCATTTCCAGGTAACTCGAACTCATGCACCCCCTCCCCCAACAACCGAATCCCCGCCTCCCACGCCTCCGGACCGGTATACAGCCGGCGAATCTCCTCGGGATCCTCCAGTTGTCCGGGCTCCGCCTTCCCGGAACTGATGTTCGCCGCGGATGCCGTCGCCGACGGCGCCGTGTGGTCTGTCCGATTGCGGTGGCGGTGGTGGCCCAGCGCCTCGTAGTAGGGCGCGTCGAAGGTGATGTCGTGGTTGCCCGGGATGACGAGCTTGAGGCGCGCCGGATGGGATTTCAGGTAGGACAGGGTGGTGAGGTGTTCGTGGCGGCGCGAGACTTTGGTGAGGTCGCCGGCGTGGATGAGGATTTCGGCGGCCGGGAGGGGGTCGAGGAAGGCCGGGGGTGGGGTTGAGGAATCGTGGTCGCGTGAATGTGAAGAGGAGGGGGAGGAGGAGGAGGATGGTGAGGATGTTGGGGGTTGCGGGGTGAGGGTGTGCGTGTCGCTCAACAGGAGCAGGGTGGTTTTTTCGGTGGGTTGTTTGCGGTTCATTGTTTTTGTTTTTTTTTGCCTACGTGTTGCTGTTGGATCGTGGATGGTGACGTTTCTCTTTGGATATGGGTGGTGGGTGGTGAGTTGAAGATTAGAGGTAGCTGTGGGTGTTTGTTGGTGGGAATGGGGTTGTATGTAGGAGGATGGATGTTGGAGGAGAGATGGTGTGATTCAAAGGCCGGGGGAAAGGAAAGTGGGTTAAACCAAGATTTGTTGTACTGGGGATATCGAGAATGCAGGAGAGAGGGGATAATTATATCATCGATGGGGGTGGTTGATGGAGTATAACAGTGAAGGAGGGAGTATAAGATGAGAGAGAGAAAGGACCGCGCGGGTGAAGTCTCTCTTTCGTCATCAGACGATCAACCCAGTGCCTACGACGGAGACACTACGCTTACACCAAGGCTCAAGTCCAACCAGGCAACATACACTTCACTACCTTGACCCTACTTACTCTATTCACAGTCTACTGCCTGCTACCGAAAACCCAGTATCATCAAATCTGAACTTTGCATAATTCATCCATTGCTCAGAGCTACCAGTTCATTACATTGCTAACTCCGAAGAATAATAATTCATTCCCTGCCGAAGACCACCACCAGCCACAGCGCGCGACGAGATATCCATTTTTTGTAAAATTTTATGAAATTGGAAAAATTTTATATGAAGTAAACACGACGCTTACTTGCGGATAGCACGCTGGTAGAAAGCCAACTCGTCACCCTCGAGGATGTAACCGTCCACGCGGCCGCTCTGGCCGGGGCGGGAGGAGACAACGGCGTAGAGGCGACCGGACTCGAACTGCTTCTCAACGGCGCCCTCGACCTTGCCGTGGTCGGCGAAGCGAGCAGCCTGCTTCTTCTGGACGCTGTTGCTCTTCTTCTCCTCGGTGACCTCGGCGGTCTTCTGCTGGCGTCTGCGGCCCAGGGGCTGGCCGTAGTGGGCCTCGTACCATTGACGGAAGGGGGCGGCATCGATCTGGACAACGGCGGACTTGGTCAGGGTGTTGGTGCGGACCAGCTCGTTGTTGGAGGGGTGGTAGGCCACGACGATGACACGGGTCTTGCGGGAGACACCCTCGGAACCCCAGGAGAAGTTGCCGGAGTCGAGACGGAGGGCACGGAACTTCTGGTTGCCACCGCGGGTGCGGACGAGGTGGATTCTCTTAGCACCGATACGGGTGTTGGCGGCCTGGCGACCCTTCTCGAAGGCTCTTGAAGTCGACCATTGTCAGTACCACTTCTGGGGGCTGGACTCGCGACTGGTGTGTTGCATACCTCTTCTTGCGGTAAGTGGCCCGCTTGGCACCGGTGGCCGAGCGCTTGTGGCGCGAATCACGAGAGATACCCATATTTGCTGATCGTGGGGACTGAACCAAGACAGATGATTAGTGACCTTGTTTCGTAGAGCTGGATGCGATATCCCTATCTGTGCAAGCCACAGAAATTCTTCCTTCGTTCCTCAAAAGTCTCGTAATTGATGTCGTCGATTGGGGGTGTTAGAGCGAGCAAGCAAGTGATCAATCAAGCGTCCAATTTGTTGTCGGCAAAGAGGCGATGAGTCGAAAGCAGGAAAGAAAAAACTTGACGTTGCAATTGTGCGATCCAACCGAATGTAGATAGACGGAGAATTCGATCACAAGAAGACTTATCGATTCAAATGATATAAAAAAAAATCTTCTTGTACCGGCTCCCTTGCCAATCGTGTGTCGATATTTTCACCGCCGGTTCTCCTGTCGTCGTATTCTTGCTCCCCGTTCTTTGGACAACGGCTTCACTTCGAGATTCGAGATCGAGACTTGCACGCGCACCAACCGACTGTGTCGAAACGAGACCGGAGAAACAGAGAGAAAAAAAATCCAGAGCTTCAAGAAAGGGATCGCAAATGATCACAGAGACTGTTGCAATAAACTCACCTCTAATCCTGCAGCCCTTCACCAGGAACGCAGCGGGCAAGGGTCGATGGGGTTGGTCGAAAGAGTTGTTGATGCTGGTCGTCGACTGTCTCGTGAATTTCGCACTGTGGCTCGCTTGTTGGGGGGAGACACTTGCCCTACCCCGGGCTAGGCTGCATGGGGCTAGCCGCATCAGGTGACCTGCTGAGTCATTCCGCATCTCGCCAGGCGGTTTTCGGACACACTGAGTGGCGGTCCGTGGTCTTATCTAATCGGCGGCCAAGGACCCGTGACGATGGCCACTAGCCCTATCTCGGTAGTTTTGCGCTAGGCTTGAAACGGGTTTCCCAGCAAACGACCGGACGGAGTGGACCGAGCATTATTGCAGAGGGCAAGGAGCCCGGCCGGACAAAGCACCGCAGTGTGGACAAGACTACCAGAGTACAGTATCTCTATTCATACTAGGTACTGTAGCATAGCCTATCTACCTGTACCTTAGACCTTATCATGAACACCACTCACCCCAATCCCTGTAAACACTCAACAGTCCTACTTCTGCTTCGCCTCCTCCTCGCGCACCAACCGATCGAACCGCTTGAATCCCTGAAACCCCTCGACCATTGTCGACAGCAGCCACGCCCACCACACCCCGGACCCCAGCGCGACCCCATGCTTCCGTAGCCGCGTATACGCCAGCACCGACGCCTCGAACGCGTGCACGACCAGCGTAAACGCCAACACCGCCGGCTGCATCCGGGCGCAGAACCCCGCGAACCCCTGGGGCCACCACCACCCGGTCTCCAACCGCAAGCCCTCGTACACCCACCCGCCCGGCAGCAGATTCTCCCGCCGGCTGAACGCCAGGATCCCCGAGAGACAGATCAGGAATGCGAGGACGTCGCCGGGCCGGGACGGAACACGGTAGGTGGTGATCTTGATGTCGGAGAGGTGGAGCCGCTCCAGACATTCCTTGTGCATGGCGACGAGGCGGGCGCGGGTCTCGCTGAAGGATTGCAGCGGCGGGTCCAGCGCCACGGTATAGCGGTTGCCGCCGTTGTTCTTGGTGCGGATGACGAGGTCGGAGAGCGTGATGGTTTCGAGGGTCGCGGTCGAGGCCTCCGCGGCGGAGACGCCGTTGTACGCGCGGAGGTAGTAGGCGAGGGAGTCTTGGTGGTTGGCGTTCATGTGCGTGATGGTGAAGGATATTCCATTGTTGCTTTTCCCAGCGGAAGAGGAGGAGGGAGATGATGATTGGGGTTGTGGAGGAGACATTTTGTTTTGATCGTTCTTCCTCGCTCGTCTGGTTTCGATTCGGATTATAGGTAAGTCACTCGATGGAAGAGGTCACAAGTAGCGATCTGAGAGTTGTGTCTATATACTACTCAATGAACGGTGAGTCACGTCAGCAGGATATGTAGTGGCGGTAAATGTGGTAGGACACTGTTGGACATGAAAATGAGTGACTTTCTGAGACGAGGGACCCCCCTTTGCGATGCCAAGAATCCAGAGGGGCCGCCGGAGACCTGCGGGCTAAAAAGTCACCCCATGCTTCCTTCGCATGTGTTTTCCCGGTGCAACCCCAGTTATGGGTTCTTGCATTCGACTGATATGGACTATGCTGTCTTCTTTGTGTTCTTGTGTTCACAGCAGTGGGACGGCAGATTTGTCTTCTTCTCGGTCTCGGATGGTCTCCAGTGTGGTTGGCTTGACATACGCCAAGCCGTTGTATAGTCGGAGAAGCCCGCACCACGTTAGGGGATTCCCAGCGATGCGGCGGTGTCTCATAGCAGCACAATTTTGTTTGAGGACAACCCTGGAATACCATATGGCAGGGTCACAGACCATTGGTCAGCCAACGGCAAGCCTGCTAATTGTAGTCATCCGAATTGATGTCAGCATGGTTGCCACACGCATCCTTGTCATAAAAGATAGACATAAGCAGCGGTCCCCTATGCATGCTACACGAGCGAGGATCGATCGTACACCGTGCCAAGGTCCGGATGCATTGACTTGAAATAGAATATTACATTTACCGCTATAACGCAAAATGACCAACGATGGGAGTATAATTATGCACAACAAACACTAGCCAAGACTCTATGAGAACAGCTGGACAACACAAAGAATAAAGCGACAGTAATCAACCAGTCAGGTAAAAATCCTTTCATAAATCGTCGTAACGCGACAAGCACAGGGCGGCGGGAACGGGATGTTTTGCGATGGCGAGGAAACTCTCGAGAAGAAATTCAGATGGAAGGGTCGCTCTCGAAGCACAACAGAATCGAATCGGTGGAGAGCATGTCGGATCATGCGCTGCGTTCATCAAAGAAAATTCGTCAATCCGTCAGGTTCTATTTCAGTTGCTTAAGCGGAGTCCAACGGGAGTTTTTGTGGGGGGGTGGTTGTTGATTTTCCAGTGTTGCCGGGTCGGAAAACTCCCGAGGACTCTCTCTCATAGGAAAGATACCTCGAAGGTTCTCTTCGAGGCGAACCACAAGAAAACAGACAAGCACGAGAGAAAGGAGGGAGTTCGGGGGTATAGTGCAGGAATGGGGGGCCACTTACAGCAGAGCCAATGTCAAATCACCGTGGATGCGAGCCTTCAGCTCAACCTCGATCTCCAAGTTCAGTTCCAACTTCAGGCGCATACCCTCCTCGTCTGCGCCCTTCTGATCGTTCGAGGGTGCCGGATCCATTGCGCCGTTGGAGAGGTTCTTGTTGTCGCTGCTGCTTATCGTAGTAGGCTGCCAGCGCTCCATCGCCTGCACAGCCTCTTGCTCGTCATCATCATATTCATCGTCGTAATCATCGTCATCGTCGTACTCGTCCGACGCATAGTCATCCGAGTACTCTGCATCGTCATCGTCATCGTCGTAAGCCTGGCCTTGGGCCTGAGGTCGCCGGCGACGCTGGGCCGACTGCTTCTGTTGCTGCGGGGCTTGATCTTCCTCTTCCTCGGAGATGTAGTCATCCGAATCGTAATCAGTCTCCGAGTCATCAGGGTCGTTTGTGTAAGTGGGCTGTTGAGTCTTGGGTTTCTCGGCTTGTGCGGTGGCCATAGTGTATGTTGTTCGTTGCTGCTTGTTGGTGCAGGGAAGCGGCAATTATAATAGCGTAGAAGGGCGGTTGCAACAATCTGGTCAAATTGCGTTTATACTACTCTGTATATCTGTGTGTATCTTCCGAGGAATTAAGTGTGGCTAGTGCCTAGGCGCGTCAGGTCAACGACGAGTATGAGTATGTAATCAAGCAAAACGAGAGGAAGGGAAAAAAGAGGAATAGAACGAGCCGGAGCGAGAATGGTGGGTTTACATACGAGATGGCTCAACACCGATGGGACGGGACTGACAAGCGGAAGGCGAATCGTCAGAGGGCAGAGGGTCGAAGAATGAAAGAGACGAATAGGGTGAGTGGTACGAGCAAGTGGCCTGTGAGGAAGGACAGGTCTGGCAATGAAGCAGGCGTAATGGGCCAGGAAACATTGCAATCTTTTCGCATGACCGACTGGAGTAGTCAAGCGATATGACGTCTGAGGGGCAGGGAAGGAGAGCCAAAGAAGCGCCTCCGCACCACGGACATCAACGACATCATCGTTGTTGCAGCGTCGCTCCAGCTTTCAGGTCAGGCGATTCTTGTTCGGCCGGGCCACGTTGTCTGGACCCTCGTTTGAGGACGCAAGGGGTGATGATGGTGGTGGGGTTACAATGACCACCGAATGAATTCATCGTCATCATGGGGTTCACATTAGGTACGTAGACTGTACTGATTGTACAGTACATTTTGATAGAGCTGACGGAGAGAAGTACACGTTAGTACATAGTACGTACCGGAGGATAGTTAGTGTGACCATCGGGTAACCAGAATCGCGTGTACTCGGTACCTGGAAATGCCAGAGGTACGGCCGAGAGAAGAGCCATGGAAAAGTGCACTGCGGGTCATTCCAAGAGGTCAGAAGAAGAGGCAAATCGGCACTGCGTATCCGATCTTGACACATTCCTAACTTTGGATTTTGGCTTCTATCAACTTTTGAGGGCTATGAAAAGCAGCAATTCACGACGCGAATCCCAAGTACTACACCAGACGTAGACTGTACCTGTGGTAACAACGAAGGTATTGCCCGTGTAATCCATGACTTCTCTAGCCGTTGAAGAGTGACGTCTGTTGGCGTCATCCACAGTGACTGGAACGGGCATAAGTTGGTGGAGACACACGGCACAAGTCAATCAAACAATAAATAGCATATTGTCCGATACCTTCTTCCTATTGGGTGATTTGGTATGCCATTGGCAATGAACAAGCAGAACAAAAGGCCCCTGTTACTGTCAAAAAAACACTAATTCCCCCTCCCTCCTCAGCAATCGACGTCATCATCCCCAGCCCTGGCAGCAAAAGAAAAAAAGAAAACCAAAAACCACGTACCAACGACGATCGCCTCCCTCGTCGGCGGCGCAAGCTGACGTCGATGGCAGTCCCCCAAATTTCCCCAACCCACAGTATGCCCAGATCCTTGCATGACTGACGGAGCGGGGCATTTTCCCATCTTGCAATCGAGGAGTTGAGGTAATCGAGGTAATCAAGGTAAACCGAAACAAAACGATCTCTGGTCCAAAATAACCGGCTGGGATTGGTGTGAAGGGGTCGGTTGGAGTGGGTGGAAGCCTGTATGTAACATGCACAAAGCACAAAACAAAAGCCCTATATAGATCTGCGACCCCGTATCACCAGACCGGTAACATCACCAGATATATTCGTCCCTGTGCCCCCCATCAACCTGCCTTGAGATTCTTCTTCTCTTTTTCTTTTTTCTTTCATCATGTCCGAGCAGACCAACAATCCTTCCTCCAACCCTTCTACCCCTCAACAAGAGAACACTCCCGGCTCCCCCCAGCCCCAGGAGGAAGACCAGTCCGAGCAGCAGCAGCAGCAACAACCTGACCAAGCCCAGGAAGAAGACAACAACGAATCGGAGCAAAAGCCCGACGAGGAGAAGGAAGACGATAAGGATAAGGATCAAGATCAATCCCAAGAACCAGGTCAAGATCAAGATCAACCCCAAGACCAAGATAAACCCGAGGAGAAGTCACAAGAACCTGAGATAAAGCAAGAGGCAGACGAAGAACAAGAAGAAAAAGAAGCAGCCGAGCCCCAACCCAAGAAAGAAGAAGAGAAAGAAGAGCCCCAACCCAAGAAAGAAGAGCCCGAATCCGACGCTCCTCAACCCAAGCAAGAACCCCAATCCGAAGCCGACAGCAAACCGAAGAAGGACCCGCAGCAGCGCAAACGTCGTTCGCGTCCTCCCCAGAAACTTCACAAGCAAGAAGAATCCGACACGGAATCTATTCCCCGCAACAACAATAACAACATGGACAACGGAGCCGTTGAGAAGCCCCGCCGCCAGCGCCGCCAGCGCACCCAGCAGCAGCAGCAAGGTGGCCAGGATGGCGGCCTGGGCGGCCTCCCCGGGGTCGGGCAGGCGGGTGATCTCGTCCAGAACACGGCGGGGCAAGCCCTCGGCGGAGTCACCGGCGGAGCGGGCAAGACCGTCGGCGGCCTCCTCGGCGGCGGCGGCAAGCAGGACGAAGGCGATGGCAAGGACGAACAGTTGCGACTGCGTCTGGATCTGAACCTGGATATCGAGGTCCAATTGAAGGCCAAGATCCACGGTGATCTGACTCTGGGCTTGTTGTAAGTCTTCCCCCCACTCTTTTCTACTCTCTATTCCCCTTCTCCACTCCGATTATATTTGAAGCCAGCTCATAGTGCGAATAGTAGCTAACCACGTCCGAAAAATCACCGTAGGAACTAAAACAACAACACCCTTTTTCGATTCGAAATCCGCCCTCCCTTTCACTTTTCCACAGTTTCCTGACTTGATCCTTCCGTTTTCAATCTTCTTTTCTTTTTTCCGTCTGCTTTTTTTTTTTCATTCTCCTGCAGAATGGAAAAGATTGGGGGTCTCGATAGAAAAAGTGTTATCCACGACGGTTCCTCCTCCTCCCCCCATCCCCATCACCCTTAGCGGGCGGGTGTTTCATGCTTATGCCTTGACGGTTTTGATACCTCTACTACTTTTTTTCTTCTGCCTTGATGTGTTTTCGTCGTTGTACTTGGTTCTGGTTTTTCTTGATTGTTACTTCATGCTTGCATCGTCTTAGAAGATATTCGTGTGTGTGTGGTTCCTCCTTTCCTGTCTAATAACTCGCTTATCTTCATTACCTCACCCTCCTGTTATGTCGATGAAATGAATGTGATGAACCAACTTTACTATACGATTGATCTGATAATGTAGACCCCGACCACTTGACTGAGAGGGTCTGTCAGATGGATGAATATCTCAATGCGCCTGGGGTTTCAAGGTACGTATGCTGTAAACATGAAAAGACTAGGTCTGGTCAGCAACCGCCATCTTGTCTTGAGCTAGATATATGAACCACAACACTCTATATATTTCCCATCTAATTGAAACAGTTAAACAAGACAGGTAGATGAAAGCAAAAATAAACATGAACAGAACAGGAAGCCCCCCTCCCCCTCCCACTGCAGCTATTAGCATGCATACCCCAAGTCCGGTACTATACCTCAAACCCCACGTAGCGACAACGGTAGCATGGTGAATTGAAGTCATTACACCATGAGAAGTTGTGTACCGCAGCCCAACCACGCGATTCCCAAGCCAAGCATTCCCTGATGCCTTCCCCAATTACAACCCCGCAATGTACATCAACCCATAGCCTACCGTCACAACCACGACAAACGCCATAAGACTGGCCGGGATACCGCGTGTGAAGAAATGACGGACTTGCAGGTACCGCTGTCCGGTTTGCGGGACTTCAGTCATGATGGCGGCTAGACACAAGTGTTAGTGAGATGCATGGTAAGATTAAATAGCAAAGTTCAGGTCACGTACTCATATTGGGGAAACCACTGGTAGGCAGCGCCATGGCCACTGAGCACATCAAAGCGCTGGCCATCACAAGCAGGTTGGGGTGAGGATCTGCCATGCTGACGCCGATCTGGCGGACCAGGGGGAGCATGATCAACGCCGCAACTGTGTGGGAGATGAAGGTAGCGATGACCAGAATCAAGGCGGAGAAGACAATCAGCACGCCGTAAAGACTCAGATGCTCCACGCGCATCCGGATAGCATTAGCCAATGTGTGCAGAAGCCCAGACGATGTGACAGCCTTGCCAAGACAGAGTCCACCCGCCGCAAGGATGATGATGGTCCAAAGAAAGTTGTTGAAATCCTCCTTGTTGAGGATACCGGTGCCGAAGAACAACACCATCGGTATGATGGCGATCACGCCCATGTCGCCAAAGATATGCTCGAGTTGGTGGCTGCCACACCAGAGGCCAATGGTCGACAGAGTCACAATGGTGATGAACCATTGTACACCCGTGAACTTGTCCTTAAGTGGTCGAATCGGAACAATGGTCGTATCCTTACCCACATGGAAACTAACCAACAGAAGGACCCAAATCAACAGGATAGAGATGATGCACACAGGCAAGGAGATGAAGAACCATGTACCCCAACTGATGCTCGGATACATGTTCTGGAGTGCAATGATGTTCTGTGGAGAAGCAATCGGCGATGCAGCACCTCCGACGTTGGCCGCCAGAGCAATTCCAAGGACAAGGGCCTTGGCGAAGTTCGAATCCGGCGACAGGTTGCGCAAAAGAGGTTGGATTATCGAATAGCACAAGACTGGTGAGGCAACGTTGCTGATCCACATACTCAAGAACATGCTAACGAACATGTTGGTGAGAAGGACCACTCGGGGATTAGAACCGGCTTTGCTCAGCACGAACATAGCCATCCGGCGAGCAATATCGTACTTGGACAACGCTGCTGCAATGGTAAACCCGCCGAGTAACAGCATGATTACAGGCGTCCACATGGCACTAAAGGCGGCACCGGTGGCCTCCTTCGGTCCCAGCCGCTGGTGAGGCTTGTCCTCAGACTTCATGATACGAAGCATCACAACGAGGAAAGGAATAAGTAACGAAGTCACGAAGAGAGGAATGACCTGCAACCAGTTAGCGCTGTGCACTAGTATGTCTAACAGCTTGGAACGTCGCCAAACATACCTCAGTAGCCCAAAGCAAACTGACAAAAACCAACATAGCCAGACAATTCTGTTGCTCCGGTTTTTCCAGGATAGGGACAGAAAGTAAAGTCGTAAAAACAACCAAGATGAAGACAAGTGTACCGAAGCTCAAGCTGCACACCCACTGAGGGAGGTGGTAGACACCAATCGGCGTCCTCACCACCGTAGCTTTAGTTTCTTGCTCGTCACCCTGGCGGCGTGTGGCCGCTGGATCATTGTCACCCCCAAGGAGAGTGCGACGGATACCAACATTAGCAGCCTGGGCCTTCCGCTCGATACCGATCATCTCCCTCCAGACGGTGTTCCTCTCCCAGACAACATGTTCCCTCAGATGCAGTCGCAGTTCACGTTTGGCTAGAGGCAGGTTACCCGTAGTGATCACCTCAGCGTAAACAGCCTCAATCTTGTGGATGTGATCATCTACTCTTTCCATGGTGTAATCTGTAAAAGGATAGGCCGGAGCCACAACCGCGCTCATGTAATCCCGGCGCAAGTTACGGTCCATGATCTTGTCGTACTTCTTCAGAGCCTTGGAGAAGCCCGTCTTGTTCAACTGGATGTACGACTTGAGTCCGCAGACAGAAACGTAGGCAGTAACAGCCTGTTTCTTTAGCGAGACACCATCATTATAGAGATCCACCACGGTGGGATCGGCGGTTTGCTCGTCGTGGGCGCCTGCGCGGCTGGTAGATTGGCCGTGGTACCCTAGCAGCCTAGAATCTGCCGCCCAGACGCTCGAGTCCCTCATATCTTCCGTGCGGCTACCATCGTGATTACTGGATTCGGCCCCATGCGATCGAGGTCGGTTCTGATCCGTCGGCGCGGCACGGTCATCGTCACTGTCCGCATCGTCATCATCGTCATCATCATCTCCGATCGTGTCGCTGAACGTGCTACGCCGCCGTTCCTGTCGGTTCCTCGAGCCGGAACTCATGGTCCTTGCCTTGATAATGTTCTCGCTCATTGGGTCGATATTTGCCCTGTCGGCCCTAGACACATAGTCTTCCGCAAGTCTGGCCACATCTTCAACCTCCTTGAACACCTCCACCTCCTTCACTTGATAAAAAGAGCAGATTTTTTCCAGCTCCGCATCTAAAGCCCGACGGAAGATCGCATCCGGGTTCGGCGTGTTATCGAGCAGCGGCGCTGACTCAACATCGGGATGGCTCTGACCAGTCGAGCGGTGCGCTTCCTGTTCTAGGGAATATATTCTGCCACAACAAGTTAGCCCAGCACTTTGACGCTCGCAAAAACAAGCCGTTAGTGAATACAACGATTCCCCTTCCTCCCACGAAAGTGATGTCGCACAACGCAAGCATTAACCAGCGAAAAAAGAAAAGACAGGTGTCGGACGACGTACAATTTCTTAAGGTTGCTGTAAGCGAGGTAATAGGCACTCCAATCTGGCACCGCATTGAACTGAATGCTGTGTGAGAACTTCATCTTGGGTGGATTGATGCGCTGATGGTGATGAGCGCAGCGCTGGAGAGCTTCTATCCAAAACTTGATTCTATCCGGCCTTCTGTGCTGGGTGCGTCGGAGGACCCTCTTCTCGTCGTCGGTGCCGTGTAGGGGACTGTCCGGGTGGTGCGCAACGGCTCGAGATCGCAGATCGTGTGACTTGGCCGATGTCGTGACAGGGAGGGATTCGGGGAATTCGACGAGTTCGATAGCCTGGTGACCGAGAGGGGTTACGGTGTTATCGTGCGTGGAGGCACCCCTCGCAGAAGCGATGCGTGCCACAGATCGGCCAACGGCATTCGACGACACGGTGTCGGACGAGAAAAGAAGGCGAGGGAAGAGCGGGGGCAAGACCGGCAATGAATTAAATATCTGTTCAATGCACTCGTGGAATTGACGGTCTGGCTGGATGTGTATTTTAGGTTGCACCTTCAACGCTAGCGCACTAGTGTTGGTTGATAACGACAGTCGTTTCGTGGTTTAGTTAATGGTATCGTTATCGTCACCGGGTAGTAAGTTAGTCGATGGCTGTGCGAACAAACTCCGGTCGGCGAACGGCCAACGCACATCTAGGACCGCAATGTGCCCAAGCACCTGTCAAGATTAGAGTTAATGAGAAGCAATGAGAGAGGAGTAGATTTAGTTTTCATCCTAGGGAAGCAAAAGTCAGATTGAAGTAGGGAACGTTGGAGCTGAGCTAAACTGCTACAGCTGACGCCGAGACAACCCAGTCGGGAAGGGGGGCGTTAGTCATCCGGAGGTTATCGGCGAACTTCACCTTTCCGGCGATTGCTGGAATAAACGTGGAATGACTTAGGAGAGATTTAGATTGACGAAAATTCAATGTACAGAACTACTCTCCGAAACAGTGACTCGGCCGTTTAATGAAAGAAACGAACAAGTAAGAAGTACAGATTGGGAGGAAATAAGAAAAATATACAACATCCCACCAAAGCAAGTAGCCAATACCTAAACCCATATCCCATGGAATGCAATCAAATTTCACCCCATCGCTACAATCATGGCACAATCAAACGTGTGATACAAACCAACTATCTCCGGTTGGTGAGGTATCCAAGGTTCGACCGGCCTGCAACACCAAGCTTGTGCACCATCTCCCTGCGATCCCACGCACCACTGCGGCCCTCCGCAACGGAAACCAGCTCCTGTGCAACTCTCATAGCGAAGTTGCTATCCCGGCGCTTGTCCGAAGCGTCGATGATCCACCGAATGGCCGTCCGCCGACGCTGTCTGAGAGCGAGGGGCACAGGGATCTGCACCGATGCACCACCACCAACAATACCCTTCTGTTGGCGGAGCTTGACCAAAGGAGCAACGGAGTCAATGATGAGAGTGAGGTAGAGGATGGGGTTGAGAGGGAGCTGGGCGTTAGGAGGGCCGGGAAGCAAAGGGCGCCTCGGGTTCCTGTTGGGTGGAGGAGAAGTCCGCAGGTGGTCCAGAATGAACGACATATCCTGCCAGAGCATCGCAGTTAGTATGACTATGGCTCACAGGACCAGGTCTGATGACTTAGCCACATACCTTGTAAGCCTTAGACAACTTGCCATCACGCATGAGTTGCTTGGTGAGCTGCTCCAATAATCCGTCGTATCGGGAACGGAAGTTATCGGTCTTGCCCAAAGGCTTGCTGGGCGCCTCGAATTTAAGTCCAGGGTGCAACTCGGCCGCTTGCTTGTTAACCTGAGAAACCATGTTCGCCACAAGGGCAGCCGAAGCGTCGTCGAAGTTAGCCGACCCTTGTACCTCTGGTTGCATGCGACGAGCAGATGTTGAGAATGAGCGTTTGGACGATTGGTTCTTCATCTGGTCTTGCATGACTTTGGGGGCATGTTTTTGAGCATTCTTATCACGCTGCAAGATCTGAGCGGGAAAGTAGTCAACGTTAGTGTTTAGGAGCTGCTAGAAGCGAAGGCTAAGACATGGCGCTGAGGAGTGGCAGCAGTCCAGATATTGGCTCACCTCAGAAATAGGCGTTCCCTGCTCCAATTCCGGGCTGGAGGCAACGCCATCGCATCTCTTGTCCATGATCTTGCTGACCTCGGCGGCCTCTTCACTGACATGAGGCAATGGATCCTCTGTCGGGCCCTTGAAGCCCTCTGACTTGTCCTTTCCATCGCTGCCAGACGATTTCCAACGCTTCGTCATCTGGGCCGAAGCTGAGAGGCCGGACTTCACGCCATTGGAGGTCGAGGGCCGGTTGGCGTTCAAAATAGTCGCGATGCTGCGGCGGGCAGCGGCCGTCGAAGGCTGGCAAAAAGCGGGAACCGCTCTTGCGGTAAAGAGATTGAGGCGCGGCGGCATGGTGAAATGAGGCCTTCAATGACAGGAGACTGTCCGTCAATTAGAAGGGAATGAAAGTGGATGAAGTCACTCTAATCGGGCCTGGCTCCTTGCCATGAAGTCCGGCGAACGATTTTCCTCCTCCACATCTGCTGAGTCATCAACTGCCAAGATTCCACCAGATGTGGAGGAGGAAACGAAAACCGCCACAACTATGACGATGGTTTTATACACTACATCATTTGAGACTTGTATCGAAGAGTCTTGAATACCATTGCTGATCTCTCAAAAGAATTTGCTCTTTACAGTCCAGCATCTTCAATACAAACAATTTTACTCAGCAATTGAATTCACCAAGCTTATTTAAATGACGTACCCACCACGGCACGCTTATAGAAGCAACGGAGTACAATAACTACTTAACTTGCCTACAGCGTTTTTCATCCAGCGAAGCGAAAGCAAAGAGCCACCAACAATGACATTGATAAATGAAAAGTGCCGCCGCTTACCGGAAGCAGAAAATCACAGCTGTATTACATACAGCATGACCTAGATGCACAAAATGAACAATTGAAGGACGGAAAGTTGTCGGGCGAGCGCGAGAGTTTGAGACCGAAGAATGCTAATAGCATTTGAAAAAAGCAGGCTCTCACATCGCTCTTTGATGCTACATTCAATTATTGAACAGAGCATCGTCGCTAGCACTGTCCGGATACACGTAGAAAGCAAGAGCGAGAATGATGTACCTAGGACAATAGTTAGTAAATTGAGGACCAGTCATCAAAAGATTGGAGCTCGGATGCTTACATTCCCAGACATAGCCCGCCTTCAAGGTAGTTAGACTTCCCATCCTGAATCAGGAAAGTAACGACCAAACCAGAGATGAAGAACGCGACAGTCTCGAAGATATGGAAATGCAATGTCATATCCACATTCATGATCCAGCCAAGAATGACGAGGAAGGGAGTAACAAACAGCGCAATTTGGAGGCTGCTTCCGATGGCAACTCCAATAGCTAGATCCATTTTGCCCTTCCAAGCAACAACCACGGCGGTGACATGCTCGGCAGCGTTGCCGACAATGGGAATCAAAACAAGACCAATGAACGTACGACTCATGCCAGTCTTCTGTACAATGCTGTCGATACTACCTACGAGGTAGTCGGCGCAGATAGCCACTAGAATTGTCACGATGATCAAAGCAACTGTGGCAGCCCATGGGTTGAGCAGTCTTTCCTCTTCTTCTTCCGCTCCCGCGTCTCCTGCTTGGTTCTCGGCATCATTGATTTCGTTGTTGGCTTCTTCGAACAGATCCGCGTGCGACTTGAGCTGGAAGTATAGATACATCACATAGAGTATCAAAAGAATGATGGCAGTTCCGTGGGAAAGAATCAGGATGTTATCTCTCCTTTCCCCCTTGTCAGACCCGCTCAGAGAGGCATAAAGCGTAGCAGGAATGATAAGAGAAGCGGACGCGACAGTCATCAGCGAAGACATGGTTGATGCTACTGTACTGTTAAAGGTTTGCTCGGAGTAACGTAATCCACCAATGAAGAAGCAACATCCAAGGACGAGCAAGATGTTGGACAAAATGCTTCCCAGCATGCTGGCTTGAACAACTCGAATCTGGTTGTCTTTCAAAGCTATTATGCTAACCTAAGATCAATCATTCGTGTTAGACCAAGCACCATTCTGAGAGGGCTCTGGCGAGCGGACTTACAATCAACTCAACGGCATTGCCAAATGTTGCATTCATCAAACCACCTAGAGCCTGACCCATCGTCGCGGCCAGCTCCTCGGTTGCGAAACTCAGGAGCGAGGCCAGAGGAATAATTGCTAAGAAATTGAGCGTAAAAATGACGGTGCTATCCCAGTGCAGAACACCCGCGATGATGCCCAGAGGCACGAAAATGAGAAGGACGTTGACATAATCGCGGACAAGGGTCGACCATGTTAAATGAGCAACACGTCTAGGCCAATGAGACCAGTGGTGTCGAGGCTTCTGACGTTGCTGGCGAAATCCAGAGTTAATACGAGCTGTATCGCTGATCAAAGCCTGTCTCTCATCCGGCGGCTCGACGGAGCCATTTCTAGACGAAAATCCAGTCATGTTTCTTCTCGGTCCCCAGGAGACCCTTCGAACTGTCGAGCGAATGCTTGTGGCCGCTGCGAGGCCAGGAACAGAAACTTGTTAGCGAAAAGTGTTGAGTGGATTAATTATGGTGAATGGCGCAAAGCGGACTGTGGAGAATGAAAGTGTAAAAGAGAGAGATTTTCAAAGAAGCGACAAAAAAATGCGGATAAGATAATGGATCACCAAACACTTGCTTTACAGCTTTCAAGCAAGTCTGGAATGAGTTTTAAAGGACTGAAATGATAGTTGGGAGGGTGATAGAATGAAACTAATTGTATAATGATGGGGAAATGATGGGGCCGGAGTGAGAACAGCTGAGGGAATGACGACCAAGCTGCGCCGTCGATCAGAAGGAAAGACGCGGAAAGGATTGAAGGAAACGAGAAGATGCCAATACCTGGGCCAGTAAAGTAGATAAGGGTGAGGGAATGGGGGTGGAGTAATTGGAGTTGAAAGACAAGGTGGTAGCACTACTGCTTCCCAGAAACGGTCGAAACATGGATTGGCAGAGCCAAGGAACTGTGGTTCAAACACTTACACATCGGAAAGGATGTAGTGTGGCAAGGAAACAAAGCCACAACTCTGCGACAGTCGGGGAATTATAAGAAGGGGAGATCGGACGGTAGTATGGATTGATTGTCCTTGGAGCTGTAAGCCGGTAATTAGTTCAGAATTCAAAATCTGCAGGATCAATTGACAAAAGTCAGAGCTCGTGATCGGAGGTGCTGGGATTGAATGGTGTGTGGCTTGTCGCGGTGGGCGGTTCTTGTTCCTTTGCGAGTCCAAGCAGGCCTAAAGCACAAGCCACGTAATTCTCGGTGACCAGGAAACCTTGTACTCAGCAATATGATGAGGAGGGAATGACCGCGCGGTTGTGATGAAGCTCTCAGTCCAACGACACAGCTAGGGTCTCAAAAAGAGGGGATTGGAACCAGGGGGGAGGGGAAGCCAAGAGGATGGCTTGAGAGGGTCGACGTACCGCAATAAGTCGCTAAACAATGAACAAGATTCCGAGAGTTCCACTAGCCACGACAATTGGTTGTGAAAGGTCGGGTGGGTCGAGATTGATGGCTGGAACCACAAGAGCAGGTGGCAGGTGCGGTGCACAGCCCCAATTCGAGTATTCCACGGTGGTGTCCTGCTGCTGCTTGGGTACCGATCGACGACCTTGAGAGAGGATTGGGTAGTCAGTTCTGAAGACTTGAAGAAATCTTGCAATACTAAGTGAGATAGACGGGGGTGGATAGCAGCATACCTTTTAATATCGAGGTTAGTCTCCATAGAGATGACGTTGGGTCACATCGTATAGAGATGATGATGATGATGATGATGATGAAATCATGGCTGGCTGGAGGAGACACGACAGTCAACTTCACGAGGGACACTGACACTGACACCAGCCGCACAGCGATACGAATTCGACTAAACAACTTGTCTGGACCGAATCATGTGTCAATCAACAATTAATTCACCGAATCCAGAAAATCCATACCCCAGGCAGTGTACTCCGTAGAGTGTAGACACACTTGCTGGAAAGCTTGTAAGAATCACAGCATGCATGCATCATCGGCAGCTTTCACTCAAGCTTGACCCGATTGGGAATGTTGGAGGTGGGGCAGAGCCGAGCTTAACTCACAAGTCTCGATCAATACCACTTCTGTACGGAGTATCTACCGGTAGGTATCCGTATAAGGACTCACTCGTTAGTCGACTACTACGGACAGTCTAGTCGCTCTCTCGATCTAGTATCAACGCAAGAATGACATTGTGCGAAGAAGGAAGCGTCTCCCGATTGATGGGTGTATTGATGGGTGTATTGATGGGTGTATTCCATTATTTGTACCTATACCAGGGATCTAGTGTGCAGTGTGCAGTGTGCACTGAATGCACCGCCACGCTAATGTCAACGGTCTCATGCGTTGGTCAGGGCTTGGCATGCCAATATAGCCAATAAATGATCTGGTCATGCTTACTATGATTCTGAGCTCCACGTCAAAAGCCGTGCGCAAATAAACGCTGCAGCTGCAATCTCACCGACACTATACCAAACTAAAGACAAAGACCTCACTGGTAGGGATTGGTCATTCTGACACGAGTCCCTCATCACTTGCAGTAATCCATCATTGCATTAACACGAATAGGCCTATATCAACAACTGGTATAGATTGTATAAGAAAGAAATTCCCAGACACAGACATCTCATTCATGTCGGCCGAACAGAAGGGTGGTCGAAGCAATAAAAAACGAAATATATGAAATAGATTCTCCCCTAACCTCGGCCTCTCACTACCTAGGCTCCTCCCAAACCTATCGATGTGGTCAGTACTAATCTGTGTCAAGCTACTCAAGGTATCGAACTTACCGGCTGCATAAGCCAGATACCATGTCCGAGAGGCGCCACCATCAATCCAGCTGTAGTCGAAATTGGATTGCGCAAAGAAATTCCAGGAGGTTGCGGGATCGACCAGAGCCAAGTTGGCATACAGAACACCCTTCCAGCCCCCAACCACGTTTGAAGCAGGGGTACTGGCAGTGCTTGCGAAGAGAGCATCCCACTCTTCGCGGACGAAGTTCTGCCTTCGAGTAAACCCGGAGAATGGCATCAGTGGCAACATGTGAATTCTAGAGGAGTTAGGTGTTGATTCTGGCAGGAAGACGAAACAGATGGGAAGCTCCAACATACCCTTGAACATATTCAAGATTGGCACCAAAGTAGGTAGTGTGATCTACCTTGTTCTCAAAAAGCTGGATATAGCGTAAGTCATGCAATCATGAATGCGCGATGGGTTTGTCACTTACAATACCAGTCACCTTGTTGGCAATGAAGTTAGCAGGCTGGTTCTTGTTGTCACTTTCCAACAGGAAGTAGTTGTGCAAGCTGCGCCTCAGGATTCCAAGCATCAAATTGCCTCGAGCTTCCAAACTAGCGTCGCCGATGGTCTTTCCCCACATTTTGAGCGCATAGGCAAACATAGTATCCTCTGAGGTAGACTCCTGGTCCTTGCCATCGAAGGATTCAAAGAGTCCCTTGGCCCACGAATGTCCATTGAACCAATCAAAAGAGCGGGAAAATGGGAAGTAGGGATCGTTGGCGGCGGAGTTTCCAGCATCCCGAACAAGCATGTTGACCCAGTCCTTGCTGGTTGACAGCCAAGTCGGATCCAAAGAGCCTACGATAGCAGCTGCATGGATAAAGTAGCCATAGTGGAAATGGTGGTCATTGTAATAGGTATTTCCGAAGTCGGCGCCTGAATCACCACCGTAACTCGCCGTGGACACCACGCCTTTCCAGACAGTGTCATACACCAATGGGAATTGCTGCTGGTTGGTGATGAAGCGCGAAAAGGCAGTTTTCAGATTCTGTAATGCCGAGGCAGCCAGAGCAGGGTCCCCACCTAGCTTGTTTACAGTGTAAACCAAGGTTGCGAACTTGCTCAGAGCTTTCCCACTGTAGTACATGCTGTTCAAGTTGGTCTGGGCGTCAATGCTCTGGTTAAGCTCCGTCGGTGCGACGGCCAGAATGACCTTCTGCGCTGCTGCCGAGATACTGTTGACATTTCCTGCAGACGCGGACCATGGAGCAAATCCCATGTCGGTAGGAAGATCCGGCTCGACCATAGTCCATGTCTCTCCAACGACCGCTATCGCATTTCCCTTGGTGGTTGTGCGGAGATTGATACTTGTCATCCGACTCTTCGTTGTGGCATCGAAGGACTCGACATGATGAGGCAAAGCGTACATCATCAAGGGTGTATCCTGCGTCTTTGTCCCTGACTTGGCCCACGACAGCTGATACGTGCCGGTACGGGCATTCACAGTTCCAGAGATAGCAGCTTCGAGAGCAAAAACACCAGCTGACCCGTCGAGCAACTTCTCCCCCGAGTCTCCACTAGGGTTCTTGGTGATTTGCACAAATCCAGACCACCCAGCCGGGCCACGGAAGTTGGTGTTAGACTCTAACTGGAAATTAGGATCCTTGCCATTCTGCGGCACGGCATAGATAAGCCAGATGCTTCCATCCTCCATGGTGGCCTTATATTTGAAAATACCAGATCTTGGAGAGGCAGCCGTAACGACCTGTCTGAAGAAAACGCCGGTCTGAATCAGAGGCTGCAAGTTCGTGTACAGGCCGGTCACGAAACCCATGCCTTGAACAAGGGGGACTGTAAGGCGCTGGCTAGACCCGCTGTCTGGTTTCAGGACAGCATCCGCAGAGAACGGCAAGAGGTTCTCCCCGGTAAGCACAGTGGAAGCTTTCAGCTCTGTTGCCGACAAGATCAAGTGCTGAATGCCGACCGGGTTCACGTAATACGAAATCGGGTTTCCGGGAATCTTCGAGTTCGTCGGCCCGTTGGCAACCACGTTGGCTTCGTTGTGCCAAAGTGCCATACCGTAGCTCTGTGCAGTACCACTTCCTTTGGCCCAGGCAACGGCATATGGATGAGTGAAAGTAGCATTAGTCTGCGATCCCAGGAAGATACCACTGTAGAACTTGTTGGTCTCAATTGGAGTGTTGACGTTTTCCTGTGAGGGTCAGACAAGTGTTTAAATAAATTTGACCATTCGACTTACGATTCCTTTCTTTGGCACGGGGTGGTCACCTCTTGATGTTACAACTGGAGGGATTGCCCCCGTAGCCAACGGAACGAATACATCTTGACCGCCAGACATTTGTGTAACTGAGCCTAATGCCAGTCAAGGTCAGACAGCATGCCACATACTACTTGACACACAACTTACTTGGCAATACAGTTGACGAGGTAGAGGTAGCAGCGTTAGAAGTTTCGCTTGGCTCGGTGTCAGAATCAGTCGGATTCGGGGTTGCAGTCGAAGGCCTGTCGGTGGAGGACACAGAAGTTGGGCTATCATCCAAATCCTCCGCTTCGTCGTCGGTGTCGTCGTTCTCGTCAATGTCTGTAGGGGTTGGGGTGGGCCTGTGTCCAGTCGGCCTATGCAACGGACTGTCTGCTCCTGAGGTAGAATCTGTTGTTGGCGCGCTCGCTGGGGAGTCGGAATCACTGTCTTTGAAATCGGGCAACAGAATATCAAGCAAGTCTGCAGGACTCTCTAAGTCATGCAGCAAGTCGTTGAGATTATGCGGCACGTTTGTGACTGTCGGATAAGGTTGTAGCGACGTACGGCCTTCGCGTTCGAGACTGGTGGGGTAATACTGGATCGGGGTGAGCAACAACAAATTCTCAACCATATCCTGGTTTAACTTACACCCTGCGCTTCCGGAATAAGTAGCCTCTCGTTCTGGGCCGGTGGGAACTGAGTCTTCAACGAGGTCGACGCTGATGATGTGATCTGCGGTGCTGAGTAGACCTTCTCTGCGGCCAAGAGCCACGTTAGCAGGAGTGACTGGTGCCATTTCATTCGTCTCTCCATCTTGAATAGGTGCGAGGAGCAGAGCTCAAATTTTGAAAGCCAACAGTATTAGGGTCGAAACAGGGATAGTATCTCGGTCGTTGAATCTCGACGACAATGACCGGGAATGAGGTGCTCAAGCGATGAGAAATCAATGTAATATGCAATGCAACTCGAGCGAACGGATATTAAATAACAATTAAAGATGTATAAAGGATAGAAATAGAGAAGAATTGGCTAAAGAGTGCATCCAATTTCTTCCTCTGGTGATGGGCGCCAGTGCACTAGACACAGAGAAGGCGCCGACACACACCGAAATAGATATGGAAAAGAGTGTAAAGAAAGATTCAAGAGGAAAGGGGGAGAAAGAAGACTGAATCAAATGGTACAAGAGGGTTGCAAGTCCAAATAAATAGAAGAATGTCAACATTGCTTACCTGGTCAAATGTATAGATTCCCGTCTCGGCCAACAAGAATCTCAGCTGGTGCGAGATAAACTCCGCTCCTCGTGCATGAAGATACCAAGAAAAATATTGATTCTCCCAAGTCAATTTACCGAAGGGGTATCACAGCACGTCGATCTGTCAGGGTGTTAGCGACCACGAAGGCTATAAAGCATAACAACTCATGGGACGGAATGCAGGGTCGAGGAGGGGAGGAATGCATTAAAGGTCAGGCACAGCGGCAGCGGCTTATGCAGTGCACCTGGAGTCCGGCGGGTATGTGCATGGGATCTCGGTGGATCAAACCTACAGGTAGACAGATGATGGGAGCATCTGATGATAAAGTAGGTACTGTACAGGAGGTACAATTGAGAAGAGCAATCTGAGAGTCGAGACAAGACCGGTTGTATTGGTGTGTTGTGTAGTGTAAGGTAGTTACGGAGTAAGAAAACCATGGGATGACGGGCGCTGGCTGCGGGATGGAGCCGGGAGTGGAGCCCTAGGAACAAGGCAGCAGCGGCAGCAGGAGCAACAATGATGATTCAGGCACAGTAACTCAACTCTCCTTCCCCTATTGTTCTTGTGAATCCTCGCGATCCCTCCTTCTGACCTCTTCTACTCCGTACTGAGTACGAAAGCCACCTCCCAACTTCTACCTAGGATTGTCTTCCTAAAATTGAATTCAGTGTTACAGTGCTGCCCTTACCCCAAGACAATGACCTGGTGCCAGCCTCTCTTTACGAAGGCTGGACGGAATGTCCCCCCATACTTAGGAAAGCCCAAGCTTAATGTGCGCCTCCCAGCCATCGTCCGGCACATTCCAACCGTTAGCCTTCATTGTATACGACACGGGTTCAGATGCGAAGTAGCCTGGCTGATTGTTTCGACGTGACTGTGACAATCTTGTTAATATTTCGTTTCAAACAACGTCCATGTGGTCCGGCCTGCAGCCCCCGGAGTTGGCTGTCCCATGAGGCTGATGGTTCACCCGACCAGATCAGCTCCAGCCAAGCACTGCTAAACCGTCAACCTTTAAAAACCCAACTGGGGATGTCCAACCCCGGAGACTATTAACTACTACCTAAAAGGTACTAACCTAAACATAGATGGTGTTAACTACTATGTTTTAACTTCTTCTTAGTTCTTGATTCTGCTTCTTCTAGAGGCAGACGCTTGTCGACGATCGCATGCACCGACAGGATCGAGAATTACACCTTGCTTAATTGCCGCATCATGCGGAGATGGCTACAGAATCAACTTTCTCTGACAGTATTCTTCTAGCTGACTTGGTATCATAACTCCATTCGACTCCACAATTCTTCATAAAGACAATGTACAGTGCGGGCAGGACGGTACAACACCGTTTAACCCTATCAAGTGAGAAAACCCCCACCAAGATCTGTATGAACCACTGACCTGCAGTCAAAGCATACGATGCATTTAGACCATGGGCTTCTGCATGGGCTTGATGACACCCTGCTTGATCATCACGCGAGGCTTGGTTGCAATCTGGAAAGTCTCCTTGGTAGACCATTCGGGGCCGATAGGAAGACGGAGAGACCTTTCGTATTGCTGTCTGTTCTCGAACTGGTGAGGAAGCTGAGTCGCCATATACTTGTTGTTCTGGGACGGCATAAGACATTAGTTTAGGTATTCGCATGCAAATGATCTCCAGGCGATGATCCTTACCTTTTTGATTCGTTTCTCATTGATGATGACTCGGGATAACTTGGCATCTTTCCGGTCTTCAGGCTTGACTCCCTCCACCTTAGTCAAGAAACGCTTCTGACGCTTCTGTTGTTTCTTGCTGATGCCATCACCAGCCCAGCTGCCCCAGCCAGGCAGGGTGTTGTCAATAATCTGGTCACCCTCTTCTTTGATGGTATCAAGCTTCTCTTGCTCGAAGTCCTGCACGACCTCGTCACCCGCGAACGCTCTCTTCACGAGATCGTGATTCTTGAGAAGCACTGGTACACCGTCTTCATCGCTGTCGTAGTCTTCAGCGTCAATGGTCTTGCTTGTTGCGACTGGTTTCTTTTGAACCTTGGAAGCACCCTTAGCACCAGCGTGGCTCGGTTGGGCATCTTCAAGCGTGATGTCGACCGTCTGCTGAGAATCGTCCGCTGTCACCCGGCGATTATTCCTGGTAGTTTGCACCAGCCATGGGTTCTCCTCCACTGGGGACTCTTCTCGCTCCGCAACCTGGCTCAAAGGCCGAGCGTTGGACTTGTTTTTGTTGGGAGCCGGTCCCTTCTTCTGCGGGCGATCAAGAACAATCTTGACGTCCTGGTCTATTTCTTGCACATCCGGCTCATCGTCTGATCCCGGAGCTTCTTCGAACTCATTGCGAGGTGCTGCTTTGAGCTTGCTCTCCTTGGCAGACTCATCTGTTTTAGACTTGCCGAACTTGCGTCGTCCAACCTCAGATTCGGCCTCTGACTGGGATTCTTCACCATGTAATTCACGGTTAAGACGCCGGATCTCTGCATCATTCTCTGCTTTGCGAGCAGCCTGCGCATTCTGCATGAACTTCATGTTCATCAGATTCGCGTGAGGACCCTTATACTCCTCTGCATCGCCTTCGTCGTCCCCTTGAAGCTTGCTGAGTTTCTGGCGGATCTTGCGCTTCTCAGCATCGGAGGCAGCTTCCTCGTCCCAGGGATCCTCGTCCTCCGACTCGGAACTAGAAGAACCGAGATAATCTTCGTCACCGGTGGTGACTCTCTTGCCTTCGATTCTCTTGCGTAGTTCCTCCTCGCGCAGTGCTTGCTCCTGCGTACCACGTCGAGCATCTTCATCCCATGCCGTGCGACCAGTTTGCTTTAAGCTCTTTGCCCACTTGCTTTCCTTGTGCTTGGAGCCCATTCTCGCCTCCGCTCTCAACCGCTCGTTCTTCTCTCTTTCCAGCTCATCTAGATCAACACCGGCTTCCAGGAGAGCTTGTCTTTCCTGAAGTTCCAGTTTCTCGCGTTCCTTTCGATGAACCCGGCGATAAGACTTACTCTTGATCTTCTTGATCCGTTTTGCGCGTACTTCCTCCCGAAACAATAGATCACGCCTTTTCCGTAGTTCGGCTCTGCGGGCCTGAATTTCTTCAATGGGTAGTCTGCGCTCTTGTAATTCTTCCATTTCCTGCATCTGATCTTCAGCCGACTTGCCATTCGTCTCTGCAAGCCCACTCTCGACAAGAATATTCTGAATTGTACTTTCGAGGTCCGTCCGTGGCTGAGGTGCGCCCATACGATGCGCCTGGTTCGCATCTGGGTCAGGCAAAGGAAACATGAGATGTTCAGCCCGACGGTTAGCCTTGACGGTTTCGAGCCACCGGTCAAGTGTTTCCTTGCTTTTGTCATATGCGGCCGCTCGGTCCAAGCGATCCTGCTGGCGTTTTGCGAGGGGGGCGTCTAATTTCCCGGGGATACCGGACGACTTCTTAGGTGCAGATGCGTCGGAGTCAACGTGTTTCAGTGAGCTTTTGAGCCGAGAGTCCGTGATGGAAGGCAGAAGATCGGCAACCGTCAACTTGCGCGTAGATGTCAAGCCGAATTCGGTCGGGGCCCCTTGTTCTTGCCCACCACCAGTCTTCCGCTTTGATTTGGGGGCAGCTTGCGTGTTCATAGAGTCGACGAAGCTTTGCAATTTCGCGAGCCCATGCTGCTGATCGTCATCGTTTTCGTCTTCGGAGACAGATAGGGCGCTGTCATCGTCGGAGTCGCTTTCTTCAGTATCGCTGTCATATTCTTCTGAATCATCGCTTCCTGTCGCCTGCTTCGATTTTGACTTTGCCTTCTTGCCTTCCTCCTCTTCCTTTTCCATGGCGGTGTTCATATCCCAGGCAGTGGCCAGGTCGACCGCGTCCTCTCCGAGGTCGTCATCTTCGTCTAGCTCGTCGTCTTCTTCGGATTCATCCACATCTTCAGACAGAGTAATCTCGCGAGTGCGCTTTTTCTTCTCGGGAACCTTGTGTTTTGGTTTGGAACTACCACGGAAGGTGAAGCTCTCGAATCGTTCCTCGTCACTAGAGCCCAATGCTTCGTCACTGTCGATATCCTCGTCATCATCGCTGTCAACCTCCCCCAGTCTCCACCTATTTCCTTCACCGTCACTGCCAAAATTCGATCCCATCTCCGCTTCGTCGTCGCCGGTTCGCCGGCGCTTGTTATCCGGTGTGTCTGAGTCTTCGGGGTCGCGACCGATGTTCCGCTTGCGTTTGAACTGATCATCATCTTCTACTCCAAAACGACTCCGTCTCATCTTGACTTTCATGGGGTATTGACTTTCGGCGATGGAAAAGGCATTCAGCATCTTTCCGGACGTCTTCTTCTGGGAGGGTTTCTTCGAAGAAGACTGGTCGCGGTTCCGGTCTTTCGGACCGCGCAGTTGCGTCTGTTGGCGAGGCATGGCTGTTGACCCTCGCTCTGGGAGGCGATATAACCGGTGGGATCTTCTTTATGAGTGGAAGACACTTCAAGGGAAAAATATGCTGGTGAGTTCTGAATTATATGGCCATGCACCGGTTTTGCGCAGAGATAGTGTATATCTGACCACAATGCGATCGATTTTTTTTTCAAAATGCGGAACAAGAAAAAAAGGTTCTTGGCGGGGCGGAGATACTCCTAGCGCCGCCCGACTTCCAAAAGAGCCTTTTTGTCCGCTGAGCGTCCGTCCGTCCCCCATTCTCCGCAATCATTAAGAGTGAAGGCCCCAAGAACCGTCAACCGCCCATCCTTCCACCATGTTTAAACCCTCCAAGCCGATGATGGCGCGCTTGCGCCTGACCACGAAGCAGGTCAATGGCGGCTACTACAAAGGAAACCGGACCGGCTCCATGGGTTACTTCGCAAAAAACGGATCCTACGTGATCGACTGGAAGAAAGTCCGCACATATGTTGTCCCCGAGAACCTGGATCAATTCAAGGTACGAGAGTCGCTTCAAGCCGTTTTCCAAGTTGTGGATGTTTCCATGAAGCTGATTTGTCTAATCCATGATCAGCTCACCCCGTTCGTCACGAGAGTCATGAGCCCGACGCAATCCAAGTACACTCGCGAGCTGAAGAAGAAAGGCAGAATCATCACGGTCGAGCGTGCTCTCGAGGGCAAGGACTACCTAGATATGTGGGCGCTTGACAACGGCCGGGAGGTCCTAGAACAGGAGCAGATTGACAAGCAGCTCGAGGAAGAGGAAGCGCGCAGGGCTGCCCAGGCCGCGAAGGCCGCGCAGATTGCGGAGGCTGCGAAGGAGGTTGAGGCCGCTGCCAGGAAGAAGGCTAGAAAGGAAGCTTGGGCACTTATTACCAAGGAACAACAGCAGGCCAAGCTTGCCGCCGAAGCCGCGGCGACACAATCGACGACATCGTGAAGTATCCGCAACAGAAACACGTTGATTCCGAACCAAGTCTATCACTGCTTACGGCAGTCGCTCACCCCTGGCTACAGCGGTGGCTAACGAGGCATGTTGGCATTCACGCTTGGGGGTGTCTCAGCTTGTCATCCGCTGGTTTGTGTGGGTTGTATCATATGTATAGTGGTTGTTTGTGGTGCTGAAGGGCTGTCGCGATAGTCCGTGTGAACTACATATCAGCCAGGGCGCAGAGGGGCTGACAGGTCACGATCGGCTACTGGGTCAGCATCTCATAACGCATGTATTGGTTTTGGGGCGTCTCTCGGGTTTTCTTGCAGTTCAGCAATTGATCATACAGTCTTACTTTCTTCTCCGAGTACCTGGATCTTCGTCAATCGAGTTAAATAGACCTTCGATCTGGGAATGAATGATCGGCTTCTGAGCAGATCACGGCTGTAGTTTATCGATGATACACTTCTCAAGTATCTTGCACTCATAAATTACCTGCTATGATGGCATTATTGCCAGTAACTCATTGGTCTACAAGCGAGTGTGGTGATAAGAGCCTGTTTCGAAGAGCTTGCAGCCAAATACCCGATGCCGTAACCTTTTATATATATTTCCCGTAGCCTATGTAGGCTTCAGCAAGCTAGAGGTTACTACCCACACAATGTTGCTAGCTTACTTCATAGTCACCTTCTGTTGAGATCCATTCAAGGCGTAGTCAATCAAAAATAGCCTTGGTAGCCATCACCAGCATCATTCGCACGGTTTGCACGTTGGTAATCTGTAGCAAGGCGTTGTGGAGAGTGGCATTAGTGCAAACGCTGCGGCAGGTGGTGCGTGGCCGTAAAAGGCTGCTCCTCCGCACCCGCTCGGCCAAGTCGGCGCAGTAACTCAAGTAACTAAGTAACTAACTTAGTAACTTAATAATGGCATAAGAGTAGCCCAATTCATCATCCACCCATCTCCCCTCCATCATTTCCAACGCTTCGCTGCATATCCGGGCCCTTTCTTACATTCTGCGGCATGGGGGCGTCTGTGTCATGCTTATCATTTCCATCACAATAAATCTAACCTTGTCATATCGATCATTGCTTTCTCCGGACTCGACGTGAACTCGGTCAAGCTATGTTTCAGTCATTTACGGGGAACTCCCGCCGTCCACGGCAGGTCAACCTGGGAGGCCGCAACACGAACCCTTTCGCCGCATATCCCTCCGGCAGACAGAATCCTCACGGCGCAGGGCCTCAGAATACGCTTGCAATCGCCCAACAGGAACGGTTACTCAGACAACAGGAGAGAGAGCGATTAGGGGCGAGCCGGACCATACAACGGACATGGAGGGGTTATCGGAGCAGGAAGATAACGCGCAGTGTGTGGCGGACGGAGTGGGATGCCACGGAGACGCAGGCGACCGAGGGCCTTTTCTCATTCGAGACCCTTCTCAAGCAGCAAGATGCGTTTCTACAACGGCCTCACCGCTATCGAACGGCAGCGGCTTGTTTGTCACAGCTGCGTTTGCTGGTGCATTTCTTGGAACCGTGGAACAGCGAGGACGTCCTCCGGCTGGTGTACTTCTCGGGCGTCTTCCAAAAGACCTTGAATGAAGTCCCGACGATAGCGACCGAAGGAGAATGGACGACGCCGCTGAATCGACTGGCAAGATTGACCCTTCGTGTGCTCCGTACCGCGACCACCCCGACGCTGCCGGCGTTCGCGGTCGGTCCCCTTCTCCAGCTGCTTATCTTTCTCACGGGTCTCATCCCGAAGCAAATAGCTCGCCTCGCCCATGACTATTACTCTGTCATGAGGATTCTGACAACGGCCCGAACGCCTCAACTCCCCGGAGACAGTCTTGTCGAGTGCGTCTTGGCTGTGCTTCGGCCTATCACTTCCGAAACCCTTACAGCCTATGAGTGGTTTGCGAAGTCCTATTTGACCATTCCAAACCTTCCGCAGTATCTCGGTAGTTTGGATAGCCTGGCCAACAGTATCAACTATAAGCTTCTGACTTCCGCTCTTAATCCGCTGCAGTCGTATTTTCGTGAACGTCAGCGTGAGGATACAGATTCTTGTCTCTGGATGCTCGCTTACTTTATCTACTTCCATCGGTCTGTATTGGGAAGCCATGCCGGGCAGCAAGCTCCGGATTCTGGCTTCATAAAGGTCGTATCTGACATGCTCAATTCCACTGCAATGCATATATCACGACGTATGGAACAGGATGACCCTAATGACATCGATGACGACTCTGAAAGAGCCCCCCTGCATGCCTTCATCAAGGACCAACTCATCAGCCTTGTCAATCAGAGCAGCATTACAGGCCTTCTTTCCCAACTCCAGTCCACGCAGCTCTCACAAGGTGAGCTGGCGGATTCTCAGTCGGATGCATCTCGAGAAGCAAAGATACTTGCTACCTATGCACTGACGTTGTTGCGGGTGTTCCCTCGGAAGGGTGATGATATTCGTATGTGGCTCTATCTAGGCTCAGCTACATTGGATCAACAATCGTTAGGCCAGCAGGGAACCAAAATCCCTGCCATCAAGTACTTCTGGCATGCATCCAGGTCTAGCCGAATCTTTACTGCCATCGGCCAAGACTCAACCAAGGTGTTGCCTCTATTGAAGCCTGTCGACGACTCAATGGATACCAGATTTCGGGGAATGTCACAGGCAGAGAGGGATGAAGAATGGACTATCATCCTTCTCTTCCTTGAACTCTATACGTTTGTACTCAAGGTGATGGACGACGAAGAGTTTTTCTCCAATGAGTCGTCTTTCACTGCTTCCTCATCCACCAGGGTGTCATGGACCAAGGAGAGTGCCTTGCCGTTGACAGATATCAAGGACATGACACTTTTCCTGAAAAATCTGGGCTTCACACTATACTGGAATTCAGCAGATTTGAATGAGCACGAAACTGTTCAGGGTACTGGTGGAATCCGAAGCTACTTCAGCTCCTCCTCCGCGCTACAGTCTGATCCTGTGGCTAGCGTGAAAGAGATTGAGATCAAGAACAAGGAGAAAGGACTTCCTGGCGTTACGGGCATTCCGCTTGACTATTTCAAGGGTCTTGTCACAGGCCTTTTGAGGATGATTCACGAGCGAGATTCGAGAAGGAAGTTTCTCCCTGACGGGCACTGGTTGATGACAAGCCGTTTCGACATGGAAGGGTTCATCCCCGCTGTTGTTGCGGAGGAGGAGAACCGACACCAACTTCAGGATGAGGATGACGAAGGACAGGGTGATCTCACGCCTGATACCCTTCTTGAACCATCCTTAGGGCTTATCGGCACCGGCCGTGCTCAGCAAACACGTCGGATTGAGGCTCTCAGGCATCGTCAACAACAGGCTGCTCGTCGGAAGCAGCTGGAGGCGGTAGCACCGCGACTTGAAATTCTGAGGAACATGCCCTTTTTCATCCCGTTCGCAACAAGAGTCCAGGTATTCCGCGAGTTTATATACCGCGATCAGGTTCGCCGGAGACACGGCTTTGTCGATCCAGATGCTTGGCGTATGTCCGTGGCCGAAGCCACGATGGGCCGCATGATTGACGGGCGCCCTGCTGCGCAAGATGTCTTAAGTCGGCACCATGCGAACATCAGGCGCGAGAGCGTGTTCGAAGATGCGTTTGAGGAGTTTTACGATCTGGGAGAGGGTCTCAAGGAGCCAATCCAGATCACCTTTATTGACAAGTGGAACACTGCGGAAGCTGGAATTGACGGCGGTGGTGTCACCAAGGAATTCCTGACCAGCGTAACCAGTGAAGCCTTCAAATCAACGAACGAGATGAGTCTGTTCGAAGAGAACGACCAACATCTGCTCTATCCCAACCCGACAGCGGTTGAGCAACGGAAAGAGCTACTAAGACAAGTAGGCTTCACTGAAAACAGCCTAGATTGGAACGAGAAAGTACGGGAGTTACTTAGACGTTATGAATTCCTTGGCCGGATCATTGGCAAGTGCATGTATGAAGGCATCTTAGTTGATGTCAACTTCGCGCCGTTCTTCCTGCTCAAATGGGCATTGACAGGAGGAGCAGGGTCAGCTCAGCGAGAATCTGCTTATCGTGCCAATCTGAACGATCTGAAGGACCTGGACCAGGGGCTCTATCAGGGCTTGGTAAGTTTCTGACTTGTGAACGACCTTGTGCCAGTCACTGATTTTTATTCGATTGCAGCTTCAATTGAAGAACTACCCGGGCGACGTGGAAGACTTTTCATTGAATTTCACTATTACGGACACTATACCTCTTCCCGGTTCCGGCAGTCGAACGATCACTCGCGACCTGAAAAGCCAGGGGTCCGACATACCCGTCACGAACCAAAATCGACTGGTATACATATCCTACATCGCTCGTTATCGCCTCCAGGTCCAACCTGCATTGCAAACCAACGCTTTCCTGCAGGGACTCGGACAGATCATACAACCCTCATGGCTGTCCATGTTCAATCAGACGGAGCTGCAGACTCTCGTGAGCGGCGACCGAGGGGAGATTGATGTCGCAGACCTGAGACGTCACACGCTTTACGGCGGTGTATACACAATCGGAGATGACAACGAAGAGCACCCTACGATCAAGCTATTCTGGGAAGTGATGGAGAAGATGACCAATGAACAAAGACAGAACGTGCTTCGGTTTGTCACCTCGACTCCTCGGGCGCCTTTGTTGGGTTTCAGCCATCTCAACCCCCGCTTCAGCATCCGCGACTCGAGTGAGGATCAGGAGCGACTTCCTAGTACCAGCACCTGTGTCAATCTGCTCAAGCTTCCACGGTACAGTAATGCTGACGTCTTGCGGGAAAAACTTCTTTATGCTGTCAACTCTGGAGCCGGCTTCGACTTGAGCTGAGTTTGGAGACTGTTTTTGTCAATAGAGCTTTTGCACGCGTGTGTTTGGCGTGTACCCATTCTGACCTCCGTTTTTTTTTTTTTTTTTTTTTCACTGGCATAGCTAAGGCGTCATGGTGACCTGTGTTTCATTGTTCTTGCCGCGCTTCATCTTTGTTGTTTGCGAATTGCTCATGCTGGTCCTGTATTGCACATGAGAGAGCGAGTGAGTACGTATGGATGATGAGTATTTCCGGAACAGCTCTTGTCCACTTAGAGGTTTCGGGAATCATGACAGATAAGAACCATACTGTTTATAAGTACAGTAATCTATCATGGGGTAGTCTTTAGTATCAGTGCCAGGCTATAGAGATTCAGGTGTTTCAGGTGTCAACTTGGACACCTGAGGCGTACAGTGGGGGTTAGTGGGAACAATGGATGGAACCTGAAGAAAGAAGTGGTGGTGGCCATCCACTGCTTTTGCTTTGGTTGACTTTTTTGCGTTTCTTTGCCGCTGGAAGCTAAAAATTTCAGGTAACAAACGACAGGCAGAAAAACCCACCATTCCGTAAAGAGCCGTTGAGGCGGCGATGACTATCGCTCCATATGGACTAGCCTGGGCGTCTGACCCAAAGAGACTCTGAGAAAATTCTCTCTTTGACTTTTCCAGAACAGACACTGTAAAAAAAACTAAGAGTCAGTAAGAAAAAAAGAGACGAAAAAGGACGAAAAAGAAAAAAAAAAGAGAAAAAAGAGAAAAAGAGGTTGTTTCATTCTTCGCCGTCTTTTTTCTCCCTCTCTCGCTCTCTTCTCTCTCTTTCCTTCTCTTCCTCTTCCATCCGCTTTTCTTTCTTTTCCTCCTTCCCCAAAAAATAATAAAAGCCTTTCTTGCTGCCTCATCCCCAGCAATTCTTCTTCCCCTCTTCTTCTCTTCCGTTTCCCATATCTCTCTTTCTCCCTTATTTTCGACTCCCCCATCGGAAAAAAAAACCTCCAAAAAAAACCGGAAAACCTACAAAAAAACTAAAGTATAGCTCCCCTCTTTCTCCCCTCCTCCATCTCTCGTGCTTGTGATCTTGTGGTGTGTTCTGTTCTCCCGACTGTCACTTTTTCCCACACTACTTCCAAGTTGTGCGGTGTGTGTGTGTGTGTGTGTGTGCGTGTTCGTGCGTGCGTGCGTGCGTGCAACTGGAGAAATCTTCCCACTTTCATCTCACCTCACCTTCTCTTCTTCACTGCTGTCGACTACTTCCTGTTTACATCCTTGCGATCCTGTATTTGCTTTGCTTTGCCTTTCATCTTATTGTCGTCCGTATCCTCGTCATCCCGACTGTCTTTGATAGACCTACCTGGTGTCTCATCTAGGTTGTACGTCTGTTGCTTCGATCCCCCCCCCCCACTACCGCAGAGCACTTTGCCTGGCTTTTCATCGTATCGGTAGACAAGCAAGATAGCAGCTGTCTCTCTCTGACATTGCGCATCTTTCCTGCTTGTCATTTCTGCCTATCTGATTCCATCACCACTTCAAGTGGATGAAGCTATACTTTGTGTCTTGTGATTCTCGCTTACAGCCGGGACCCTGTGATTGCACGCTTATCCATCCGCTTCCGCTGCCTGGCTCGAATTGAGCTTGAACTTCGGCTAATCTACCTTCACGCTCAACAGTAACACCATAAAAATGTCTTCCGACGCTGCTACCACCCCTGCCACCGACAACACTGTCAACGGCACCCCCGAGGTCAGCCCTGCTGCTGCTGCTGCCCCCAGTGAAACCCCCGAGGTCACCGCTGTTGAGAACGCCGCCCCTGCTCCCAACAACAACCAGCCTCACTCCGCCTCCCTCTATGTCGGTGAACTCGACCCCTCCGTCACCGAGGCTATGCTCTATGAGCTTTTCTCCTCCATTGGCCAGGTTGCCTCCATCCGTGTTTGCCGTGACGCTGTTACCAGACGCTCGCTCGGATATGCCTACGTCAACTACAACAACACCGCCGACGGTGAGCGCGCTCTCGAGGACCTCAACTACACCTTGATCAAGGGCAAGCCCTGCCGTATCATGTGGTCCCAGCGTGACCCCGCCCTCCGCAAGACTGGTCAGGGCAACGTTTTCATCAAGAACCTCGACAGTGCCATTGACAACAAGGCTCTTCACGATACCTTCGCTGCTTTCGGCAACATTCTGAGCTGCAAGGTCGCTCAGGATGAGTTCGGCAACTCCAAGGGCTACGGTTTCGTCCACTACGAGACCGCCGAGGCTGCCAACAACGCCATCAAGCACGTCAACGGCATGCTGTTGAACGACAAGAAGGTCTTCGTCGGCCACCACATCTCCAAGAAGGATCGCCAGAGCAAGTTCGAGGAGATGAAGGCCAACTTCACCAACGTCTACATCAAGAACCTGGACGCCGACATCGATGACGAAGAGTTCCGCAAGCTCTTCGAGACTTTCGGTGAGATCACCTCCGCTACCCTGAGCCGTGACCAGGATGGCAAGAGCCGTGGTTTCGGTTTCGTCAACTTCGCGACCCACGACAGCGCGCAGGCCGCCGTCGAGGAGATGAATGAGAAGGAGATCCGCACCCAGAAGCTCTACGTCGGCCGTGCCCAGAAGAAGCACGAGCGTGAGGAGGAGCTGCGCAAGCAGTACGAGGCTGCCCGCTTGGAGAAGGCCTCCAAGTACCAGGGTGTCAACCTCTACGTCAAGAACTTGACTGATGACGTCGATGACGAAAAGCTGCGCGAGCTCTTCGGACCTTATGGCACCATCACCTCCGCCAAGGTCATGCGCGACAGTGTCAACGGTGAACGCACCCAGTCTCCCGACTCTGCTGGTAAGGAGAAGGAGGCCAACAAGGAAAATGAGAATGAGGCCGAGGAGGTCGCCGAGGAGGCCGCCGAGAAGGCTAGCGAGTCATCCGATGAGAAGGACAAGGAGTCCAAGAAGTCCGACAAGAAGGGTCTTGGCAAGAGCAAGGGCTTCGGTTTCGTCTGCTTCAGCAGCCCCGACGAGGCTTCCAAGGCTGTCACTGAGATGAACCAGCGCATGATCAACGGCAAGCCCCTCTACGTCGCTCTTGCTCAGCGCAAGGATGTCCGCAGAAGCCAGCTTGAGGCCAGCATCCAGGCTCGCAACACCATCAGACAGCAGCAGGCCGCCGCTGCCGCTGGCATGCCCCAGCCTGTACGTGTTTCCTCTTCATTCCTTCCCTCTCGATCCTCAAACTAACGCGTTTCCAGTACATGCAGCCCGCCGTCTTCTACGGTCCCGGTCAGCAGGGCTTCATCCCCGCTGGTGGCCAGCGTGGTGGTATGCCCTTCCCCGCTCAGCCCGGCATGGTCATGGGTATCCCCGGTGGACGCCCTGGCCAGTACCCCGGTCCTTTCCCCGGTCAGCAGGGTGGTCGCGGCATGGGTCCCAACCAGCAGATGCCCCCCAACTTCGCTCAGGGCATTCCCATGGGTGCCATGCAGGGCCCTGGTGGCATTCCTAACGGCATGGGTTACCCTCAGATGGGTCAGGTTCAGTTCGGTCGCGGCGCTGGTGGCCGTGGTCAGGTTCCTGGTATGCCCATGGGTCAGGGTATGCGCGGCGGTCCAGGCTACGGTCGCGGCGGTGTTCCCCTCCAGCAGGGACAGATCCGTCCTGGCCAGGGTGCTCGCGGACAGAACGCTGCTCAGCCCGCTGCCAACCAGGAGGGCGCTACTGGCGGTCTGAACGCCCAGACCCTTGGCGCTGCTCCTCCTGCTCAGCAGAAGCAGATGCTTGGTGAGGCTCTTTACCCCAAGATCCAGGCCCAGCAGCCCGAGCTTGCTGGCAAGATCACCGGTATGCTTCTCGAGATGGAGAACACTGAGCTCCTTAGCCTGTGAGTATACCCTCGAATTCATACTCCGTACATTTCAATCTTGGATCGCTTGGAACAAAGCTAATACCCACTACTATAGGCTCGAGGACGAGGAGGCTCTTCGCGCTAAGGTCGACGAGGCCCTCAGCGTTTATGATGAGTACATGAAGAACAAGGGTGGTGAGCCCGAGGCTGCCGCCGAGGCTGAGAAGCCCAAGGAGGAGGCCAAGGAGACTGCGACCGAAGAGAACAAGTCGTAAATTTTCGTCTCAATGCCTACCCATTTTTGATGACCTCGAATACTCCTTCCTACTCAATTAACGATTTATCTCCCATTTTCTTAACTTCTTTATTACCCTACCTCTCCACCCCTCTTCCTCTATTTCTTCTACCTTTTTTTTTTCTATTTCCGTCCTGGTCTGATATCCCTGGGTTACTAAAAGTTTCTTTGTGCGTGGTGTCGTCGGGCCTTGTTCAGTGAGCAACATGTTATTGGATCCTTCTCATACCATTCAATTTTTTTTTCTTTCCCACTCTTCAAGGGACCGAGCATCCTTTGCTGTCGACTTCTTCTTTTCACGATTCAATTGATGGAAACGGTGTTGCGCGCAAAC